TATGAAAATTACATGAAATTCAAATTTCAATGTCATCAATAAAGTGTTACTGGAACACAGCCACACTCATCCATGTACGTACTGCCTCTGGCTGCTTTAATTCTACCACGGCACAGGTGAGTAGTTGTGAGAGACACTGTGCCCACAAAGCCTAAAAATGGCCCCCTCTCTGACTCTTTACATAAAAACTTTGCCAATGTACATGAATCAGAAGACTTGACATAGTTAAGGTGCCAATCCCCAAATCAATCTACAAATTCAATGCCATCCCTACCAGAATCCTAGCTGGCATCTTTGTAGAATCTGACAATCTGATCTTATAACCATATAGAAACTCACAGGGCCCACAATAGCCAAAACTATCTTAAAAAAGAACAAAGTTGGAAGACTCAAATTTCATGACTTGAAATTGTGATTTAGAAAAACAAAACAAAACAAAACAGGGGCAACTGAGTGGCTCAGTGGGTTAAAGCCTCTGGCTTTGGCTCAGTTCATGGTCTCAGGGTCCTGGGATTGAGCCCCGCATCCGATTCTCTGCTCAGCGGAGAGCCTGCTTCCTCCCCACTCTCTGCCTGCCTCTCTGCCTACTTGTGATCTCTGTCTGTCAAATAAATAAATAAAACCTTTATAAATAAATTAAAAAAACCTTTATAAATAAATAAATAAACAAACAAACAAACCAAACACAACTGTGGTCATTAAGACTGTACTTGTATTGGTAAACCAACTGAAAGTCCAAGGGCACCTGGATGTCTCAATTAAGTGTCTGACTTCGGCTCAGGTCATGATCCCAGGGTCCTGAGATCCAGCCTCTCATCAGGCTCCCTGCTCCTCAGGAAGTCTGTTTCTCCACCTGCCTCTGCTGCACCCTCCCCCCAGCCCCCTGCTTGTGCTCTCCTGCTCACTCACACTCTCTCTGTCAAATAAATAAATAAAATCTTAAAAAAAAAAAAGAACTGAAAGTCCAGAAATAAATGCATACACTTACAGGCTATGCATTTTTAACAAGTGTTCCCATACAATCCAATGGGGAAAGAAACGTCTTATTGATGAAAGTGCTGGGATAACTGGGCAGCCGCACACCAAGGAATGATGGTCCCTGACCTCACACCATATATAAGTTACCTCAAAATGGATCCAATGTAAATGTAACACTCTAAAACTCTTACAAGAAGACACAGGAATAATACATCTCTATGACCTTGAATTAGGCAAGTTTCATAGCTCTTACTCTTAAGGTACAGCAATCAAAGACAAAAATAGAAACTGGACTTCATCAAAATTGAAAACTTTTGATCTTTCAAAGGGCACTACCAAGAAAATGAAGAGAGAATCCACAGAAAGGAAGAATGTTTCAAAAATCACATATCTCATAAGTGTCCAGAATACATAAAAAATGGTTTCAATTCCACAATAAAAAGACAAATTACTCAACTTTTAAAAAATGGGCAAGAATGAGGACAGGGCTTACAAACTAAGTGTAAGACTGGGGCGCTTGGGTGGCTCAGTCAGTAGAGCGCACGACTCTTGAACTCAGAGTCCTGAGTTGGAGCCCCGCATTGTGTGTAGGGAGGGAGGGGGGAGAAAGGAAGTTAGAAAGGAAGGGGTCACGTCCCTCATCTCATTCAGCCTCCTCACACAGACTCACCTGGTCTTAGAATGAACTCCCACCTGTGTGAGCCACCACAGCAGGAGTTCCCGTTATTAACAGCTGAATATATCCTGACTGACTAAGAACACGAACCTCAGCTAAATCACCTCGCACTTAGCAGAGAGGAACAAGTCCCGTCAGTTCTACCTTCAAATTCAGTCACATTTCACCTCGCCACTGACAGCATCACCACAGAAGCCTGGACCACGATCTCTCGCCAGGCCACTTCCATAGCTTCCCAGCTGGCTTCCTGCTTCTGTCAGTGCTCCCCTTCACTCCATTCTCAACCAGTATTCACTGTAAAATGGAACTCAAATCCTGCCCTTCCTCCCCCCATTCCTTCCTCTAGGATAAACACTGATGTCTTTAATCCATCTGCAAGGTGGGTGGCGCTCATCCGGGGTGCTGCTCCCACTCCCTCTGGGACCCCACCCCCTACTGAGAGTCTCCCACTCACTAATTCAACCAACCAAGCCAACCTCTCCTTGGTATTCCTCAAACAGGGGGCCTTGAGACCTGTTTCCCTGCCAGGAACGCCCTCCTCCATTCACCTTCACGACTCTGTCTTTGACCCCCTCCAGGTGTTGACTCAAAAGCCACAATCTCAGTGGCTCTTTCCCTGGACACCCTATCTAAAATGTCAACACCTTATCAACGCTGACATTTCCCACTTTCTTTTCCTGCTTTGCTGCTCCTCCTTCATTTACCACTCTCTCATAAACCCATGTTCTACTTTTCCATCTTGTTTACTGTCTATGTATGTCCCTCCTTGAAATGAAAACTTCACAAGGCAAGAGTCTTATCTGTTGAGGCTGCAACCCTGCAGCTATGACCACAGAGGCATTCCTTAGATGTTCAGTAAACATCTCCGATGAATGAAAAATTAAAGTCAGGGGGAAACCAGGTGGGACTCTGAAGGAGGGTAAGAAAGTACCAAATGCAAATGTCAATTGCCTCATAATTCCAGTTAGGACCGTCCCCACCCCTGGCAACCCCCTGCAGGCCAACCTTGCTGAGATGGTAGCCAGTCCACCCTGGCACCCCTGCACCCTCCATGCTGAGCAGCCAGCAGGCACTCAGACACTTCAACTGAAGCCCACGTACGGCTGTGACACTGCAGCTCCACACAACAGAGGAGAACCATAAAAATAGAACAGACACTTAAATTGTTTTTGGACAATTCCTACTTTGGTGAATGGATTTTTCAGCTGAAGCACCTGAACAGAAATGCCAAAATCCAAACTCGCAAGCAGAGTTTGTTATTCAAAATTAATGAACACTTGCTTTCTCAAAGGCAAAGTGTCTACAAATATGATATTTATGCATTTTATCTAAAATAACTACAATTAGGCCAATGTAGTTGATTTCAGAGCATGCTAAGAAGCTTTAGAGGTTACTATTCTGAAATACTTCTGTTCTAAATAACTTAAAACCTGTCTCCATATGTGCATGGTTTGTACCTGTAAGGATACACAAGGAGGAAGGAGAATAGTGCTTGCCTCTGGGGACAGAGTTAGGTACTCAGGAGAATGGAGTGGGAGAGAGACATTTTAATTATTACCTTTTTGTAATTTTAGAATTTGCATCATGGGAGTGTACTACTTACATGAAAATAATAGATTATACTTTTAAAATAAGTCAATCACATAACACCTTAAAATAAGGTAATAAAACAGCATCTATCTACTTTTGTCAAGGCAGCTTGAGAAAGAAACATCTTTATAGCCATATTTTGAAGATAAGCAAATTCAGGTTCTGTCAAATCATCATAAGAAACCGATGGCAGGGGCGCCTGGGTGGCTCAGTTGGTTAACCATCTGCCCTGGGCTCAGGTCATGATCCTGGGGTCCTGGGATCGCATCTGGCTCCCAGCTCTGCGGAAAGCCAGCTTCTCCCTCTGCCCCTCCCCCTGCTTGTGCTCTCTCTCATGATCTTTCTCTCTCAAATAAATAAATGAAATCTTTAAAAAAATGTCTTTCTCTAAGCACCCAAGCAGGTTTTTCACCTCTTAGAAGAAAAATTAATTTATTTATAAATTTTATTTCTAACTTAGATAAGTCAACATTACTCCCCAAATTCTCATCTTCTATTTACACTCTCAGGACATAGCAAGGATAGCATCAGAAACATAACGAGTAAGAAAATACTACTAAAAATGAGAGGGATGGGCACCTGGGTGGCTCAGTCATTAAGCGTCTGCCTTACGCTCAGGTCATGATCTTAGGGTCCTGGGATGGAGCCCCTCCCTGCTCAGAGGGAAGACTGCTTCTCCCTCTACCGCTCCAGTTCCCCCTGCCTGTGTTCCCTCTCTCGCTGCCTCTCTCTCTCTCTCTGTCAAATAAATAAAATCTTTTTAAAAAATCCTAAATAAATAAATAGATAAATATAAGAGGGAGCTTCTTAAAGGGGCTGCCCCTTGAACACTGTCCTCATTAAATGCTGCCTTGTGCACATCCAGATGGAGGATGCAAAGCCCCAAGGGGAGAGAAAGGCCTCGCGGAGACTTCGGGGGTAAAGCACGTGGGTTCTGCTGGAAGGTATGGTCTCCAGGCCCAAGCAGCAGACCCCTAGCTTTCAAACAGTAGCAGGCCGTGTCCAAAGAAGAAAAGAGGAGCCGCCCATGGGGGCCGCAGGCAAGCTGGACCACAGCGCTGGTGTAATGCGCATCCTCATCCCGGCAGCAATTAACCTCTCCTTCGGCAACGGCTGGTTGGTACGTCCAGCTGAAGACAGGCAGGAAACTAAACGCCGACTCCTCCTAATATTCAAGTCAATTTTATTCTCTCTCACGTCTTAATAACGACCTCCTAAGCAGCTCCCCACTTACTTGGCTCCCACTACTCAAGGGCCTGCAGACCATCTGGAGCTGAGACAGCGGGTCTCTTCCCGACTCTACCCGTGCGATTCCCGGACTAGCCGACACGCCTCGAGAATGCGAGAAGCCAGCTTCGAGGTACCCGAGGCGCCAAGAGCCCCTGGACCGGAATCCCGCTGGGCCGGGACCGCAGTCCGCCATCCCCGCCCCCGACGGCCTCCAGGCATGATGTCATCACCCCCTCCCAGCTCCCCGGCTCCCAAGCCCGGCTGGTCGCGAGGTGTCCGGGACCTCAGCGCCCCTCCCTCGCGGGGACGCCGAGAGGGAAGGGAAGTGGCGGTCTCGGATCACGGCACAGCCCGGTCCTCGCAAATACAAAGCAACGAGTTCCTCCCCTAACTTCGCACGCCGGGAGAGGCGGGGGTCCGTGCCCGCCTGCGGACCTGGACAGGGCCCCGGCACGGGGTTAAGGGCGACGGTGCGCGCCGAGTCCGGGGGCCGCGGGGTCGGGAGCTGCAGCAGGCCGGTACTCACGGTCGGTGCAGTGGCTCCTCGGCCACGGCCGGGCCGGGGGGCGGCGGGGGCGGAGGGGGCGGCGGCGGCTGCTGCGGCTGAGGCGGCGGCGGTTGCGCCTGCGGCGGCGGCTGAGGAAGCTGAGGCGGCGGCGGCGGAGGCTGCTGCTGCTGCTGCTGCTGCTGTTGCTGCTGGAAGGACTTGAGGGATTCGAAGGCCTTCATGAGCTTCTCCAGCGTCGCCATGGCGGCCTCCCGCCCCGCGGGGACAGACCCCGAGCCCTCGAGCCGACCCGCGGCGCCGCTTAGCAGCGCGGCAATGAATGGGGTTCGACACCGCCAACAGGAGCGGAACCGAGGCGCCCGGCCATCTTGGACCCGTCCCGGCAGCCCCCGCGGCCTTGCGTCCCTCGACGCTGCGCCGGCGGGGCGGGGCCAGGCCAGCAGGATTGACAGCCAGTGGCGGCGACCTCTGCCAATGGCTGGCCGAGGCGCCGGCCCGCCCCCCGCATCCGCTGGCTGGCCTCCCAGGGCTGCCGGGCTGCTGAGATCACAGCACCACTCTCGGGTCGAGGCGGGCCGAGGGCGGGGGACGGGGTAAGGAGCGGGGCGGGGTAGGGGGCGGAGCGGAGGGTGGGAGGCGGGGCAGAGGGCGCGGCAGGGAAACACTAACGGCGGGAGAGGCGGGGCGCGGCTAGGCGAAGGACGGGGCGGAGCAGGGGGCGCGGCGGGGTAGAAGGCGGGGTGGGGCGGGGCGGAGAAAACCCCTGCGGCGGGAGGGGCTGAGCAGAGGACGGGGGCGGGGCAGAGGGCACGGCGAGAGGGGCGGGGCGCGGCGGGGCAGGGGCGGGGAAAGGGGGGTGGGGCGGAGAGGGCGGGGCGTGGCGGAGGTGGGAGGCGGGGCAGGGGGCGCGGCGGCGAAAAACCCCTGCGGGGGATGGGGCTGGGCAGAGGACGGGGGCGGGGCAGAGTGCACGGCGAGAGGGGCGGGGCGCTGCGGGGCAGAAGGCGGGGCGGGGGCGGGCCAAGAGGCGGGTTGCGGCAGGGGGCGCGGCGGGGAAGCACTTGCCCCGGGAGGCGCGGGGCAGAGGCCGGAGGCGGGGCGCGTCCGGGAAGGTCGCCCCTGCGCAGGTACCCTAGTCGCCTCTGCCTGGGGTCGCAGGGAGGACGGGCGGTGGGCTGGGAGCCGGAGACCCCCAGCGGGGCGCGCGCTGAGGGAGGGACTCAGCCTTGCGGGGAGGAAGGGCAGAGTGCGTGAGCCGGGTCCAGCCCGAGGGTGCGCGTCGGAGAGGCAGGGAGCCCAGGCGCCGCCCCTCGCTGAGCCTGCCTGCGGAGGGCAAGGAAGGGCCTAGGGTAGGCACGGGGCCAAAACCTGCGGGTCAATGCCTGCTGCCCGCGCAGGCTGTGGCTGGCGCACAGCCTTGACCCGAGAGGCGCCACCCACAAGAACCACTGCCCGACCCTAACGGGCTGTCCTTCAAAGAGAGGAATCCTGCCGCAGAGGTTTGTTGGGCACCTCCTGCTTAGGGTGGGGCAGGCCCGGGCGAAGGGTCCAGGACTTCAGAGCCTCACCCCCTGGAGGGGAGGTCAGTAAGCCAGCAGAGGACCACAGAGGACAGTCGGTCATCGAGGGGCTGCTGTCCCGCGTGCCAGGGAGTGGGTTGGCCACAGAGAGAGCTGCTGTGGTGGTGGTGGGGGGGTGCAAGTGATGAACACGGTATGAACCTTCAGGATCCTGCTCAGGGCACCCCTCTCCTCCGTGCCCACAAGCCACAACTCTACCTTCTCTCACTGTGATCAGTTGTCCCAGGCAGTGGGATAAAGGGAAGCCCGGTAGCACCACAGAAGCATTGCCCCTGAGGGGATAGCGATGGGGCCCCCTTCAGGAAAGGGACATCAGAGAATATGCCACCGGCCTCGGCCTCGAGGTCCCTGTTCCCTGACACCTTGGGGACAGCAGGCCGCAGTGTCCGGGCTCCAGGCTGTCCTGAGCTGTAGTCCCCAGACACGACAGGCTGGTGATCCCTCGTGATACTGATGCTATTTGTGCCCTCGGATATTCCCCTCCACTTGAGTGTGGCCTGATCCTGGTCCCTTGCTTGTAACCAACTAAGTAAGGCCAAAGTGGTGCTCCTGGGATTGGCTTACAAAAGATGGAGTCTTCCATCTTGCTGGCTGCCACTTTCTTGGCCTGTACACGTTCATGAAGCAAAAGCTGCCATGTCTGTGTTGCAGAGGCCCACGTGACCAAAAGTCAGTGAGAAACGGGGGGCTTTCAGTCCAAAAGCGCACAAGGAATGGATTCCTGCCAATACCACGTGTTTGGAATGGGTCCTCTCCAGGTCTAGTTTCTGGGTGAGCAGGGCTGTACCTGACTGCAGGCTTTGCAGTAGCGCTGTGCCTGGAGTCCTGACCCGCAGCAGCTGTGGTCGGCTGCGGTGCTGTGTGTTGATAGGCCAGGAGGTGGCTGGATACACAGCAAAGGGTAAGTTTGCTGGGGCTGCTCATAACAAAGCTGAATGGACTGGGCTGGTGACTGCCAGATCTTCCCACCATGAAGGCCTTGGTGGTGGTTCCCTTCCAGTCCTGGAGGCTGGAAGTCCAAGATCCAGGCGTGGGCAGGGTGGTTCTGTGCAGCCCTCTCTCCCTGCCTGTAGACAGCTGTCTTCTCCCTTGTCCTCACATAGTCTTTCTCTATGTGTGTTTGGGTCCTGATCCCTTCTTCCTGTAAGAACACCCACAGGCCACATTGGATGAGGGCCTCCTCTGAAGACCTCATTTTATCTTGATCACCTCTGTATAAAGGCCCCATCTCCAAATACAGTCATAATCCAAGATGCTGACACCTCCTGACAGGACACACCTGGGTGAGGATGGTCACTGGCTACAGCAACACTGGGAACAAAAACGTGGAAACAACTGAAGGAGCGACTACATGAATCAAGGTACACCCACATGACAGGAAACTATGCAGTCATTCTGATCCTGTATTAGGAGAGCGCTTGTGACACAAAGGTGTGCAATGCATGAGCAGACCGCCATGGATGGCAGGACCCCCCCCCCATTTTTATTTTTTTAAAGAAAGATAAAAACAACCCACACATACATGGAAAAGGGATCTGGTCATTAAGTCTGTAACAGTGACTCTCTGTGAACAAGGAAATTATAGGTGATTTATATCTTAATCCTTATGCTTTTCTGTATTTTTCAAGTCTTCTGCAACAAAACTGTTACTGTTTGGGGGGGGGATGTAAAAGGATAGGTTTGAGTGGGGAGCTAGAAATTAAAGCTGAGCAACACACCTGTGGTGATCCTGCAGAGGGAGAGGGGAGGTTTTTTTTTTTAAGATTTTATTTATTTATTTGACAGAGAGAGAGAGAGATCACAAGCAGGCAGAGAGGCAGGAAGAGCAGGGGGTGGGGTGGGGTGGGAAGCAGGCTCCCCACTGAGCAGAGAGCCCGATGTGGGGCTCAATCCCAGGATCCTGAGATCATGACCTGAGCCAAAGGCAGGGGCGTAACCCATTGAGCCACCTAGGCACCCCAAGAGGGAGATGTTTAAAGTTCCCAGCGGCCCCCACAGATGGGGTACTGCAGCTGGGGGCAGGCACCCACTCTGAACCCCAAAGTAGGTAGGAGCCCGTGGGGCATAAGGCAGAGCCACAGGGAACAAGGCAAGTGGGCCGGGAGCCCCCAAGGGTTTCTTTGTGGCTCCTGCCTGTCTCCCCCCAAGCTTCTTCCAGTTGAGAGTGTCATCGCTGTGTATTTTAATTCTATGTAAGTACACACGCATACCGCAGAGGACACAGACACAATCATGGCTGGTTTGCACAATCCACATTTGTTCAAATCGACTCCCGTATTTACCCTTTTTCTTACTCTTCCTTCCCTCCTACATCTCCAATCTTCCCTCTGGGCTCATTTTCCTCTGCCAGGAAAATACTGTGTGGAGTTGCTTTTAGTGGACCTTTTATTGCTGAAATCTCTGTTTCAGTTTTTCAGAAAAAAATCTTTACTTTGTCTTCATTCTCAGTGGATTTTTGGTTGGGTATAGAATCCGAGGTTGGCAGATACTTTTCTGCGGCAGATGAAAGATTTGGATTTCACTGTCTTCTGCTTTTTGTTCTGGCTGTTGAGAAGTCAGTTGTTGTTTAAAGGTCACTCCTCTGAGCGTAATGTGTCTTTTTTGCTCTCTGTCTGCTTTTAGCATCTTCTCGCAGTCTTTGGCTCTCTGTACTTGCACTGTCCCATGTCTCAGTGTGTACGGAGAGACGAGCCTGCCTCTTGACGGTGACCCTGGGGATCCCGGTCAATCTGTGACGTAGCAGTAGGCTTCCCAGCAGGAAGGGCTCAAAAGTCTGGCTGATACCCATTCTGGAATTTCTGGAATCCTCGATCCCTGGTGAGAGAGGTCTGGGACCAGGATGTTCTTTTCAGCAGCCCAGAGTCACTGCCCAGAGCCTAAACTCAGCCAGCACTGGACATACAGCCAGGTGCTCCCTGTTCCCTTCAAGTCCCTGCAGACACTCACCATGACAGGGAGCATAGCCCCACACTTCGGCCACATGTGGCTATCAAGCATTTGAAAGGTAATAATTCTGCATTAAGATGTGCTGTTAAGTGTAAAATACATACCAGATTTCAAATAACTTCATACAAAACAATGTAAAGCATCTCATTCTGTGTATACTGATGGCATGTAGAGATACTATTTGGGTATATTGCATTAAACACAAGATGACTCAAAGCAGTTTATTTTTACTTTCTAAAGATGACATATGTGAGTCGCATATTTTATGGGATGGCTGTGGTGTGTGAGGTCAGCTAGAATCCACCTGGCCCTTTAGGAAGGAGGCCTCACAGGTAGGGCTTGTCCTGGAGTCCATTGTCCTCGGGGGGCTGGGTTTGGTCACTCAGTAAAGGGGGTGACTGCCAGATCTCCCCACCATGAAGGATGTTTTCCTCCATAATTAGTAAGTCCTTGGTGGTGGTTCCCTACAGTTCCCTGGACCTCTGATAATGTCCTGCCACCTGGAAGCCTTCCACCCATGGGTCTGGCATCCCTGGTCGACCCCAGCCTGAGTCATCTTTCAGGCTGGGAGTTAAGAAGTGGTGTCTCTTGCAACTCCCTTGTGTCTTCTGCCCTAAGCTCCTCACACTTCTCTCTGAGGAAGAGCTCTCCTCCCCCATATCGCATCCATCCATTCCCTTCCTTTTCTCCTCTGAATCTTTAAAATTATACATCATAACCAGTTTCATCAGAATTCTTTTGTTGAAGCTCGAATTGTCCCCAGTTCAACAGAAGCCCCTTCAGGGTAGCTCCTGTGTCCCTTTGCCACATCCCATCATTCCTTGAGCACTTTCTTGTTTTATGTCACAGCAAGATGCTCCCAGC